CCAAAACAGTGCTAATATAAAGGAAACCAGGCTGATTACATCAGAGATTGCAGAGAGAACAGAGACTCGCGTTGCGTTTTACAGTGAATTATTCATTCCAGTGTGTTTCGCTTTTAAACACGAGCTCTGTCATATTCTGTGATTGTCTCTGAAGAGCGTGAGCTCTCACATGTCGCTTGTGTGAAGTACAGACTAGTGATGTTTAGTTCGTGAACAAATCGTTCTTTTTGAACGAATATTTTAGGTGAACGAATCTTTTAGGTGAACGAATCGTTCTCATTCACGTAATCCATTGACTTTTATTGAATATTTCTCGTACACTGAAATTCCTCAGCGCGACACTATTAGCAGAGCATGCGCAGCTCGGTGAACAGCTCTGTGAACTATTTCATCCTGTCAAAGAATGACTAAACCTCGAGCCAATAGCCTTCGAGTTTGAGATGTGACAGAGCATGTGATTTGTTGAATGTCGTGAACGAATACGCCCTTCACTGAACGAATTTCTTTTGAGTCTGAGCGAGATCGAGAGATCATCTTCTCGTTCGTGAATGAAATGACCAAACTGGTACATCTCGTTCGTGAATGAAATGACCAAACTGGTACATCTCATTCGTGAACGAGTTGAATGAACTGGTACATCTCGTTCGTGAATGAAATGACTGAACTGGTACATATCTCGTTCGTGAATGAAATGACTGAACTGGTACATATCTCGTTCGTGAACGAAATGATTGAGAGTGTACTGGGTCAGTCGGCCATTTAGAATGTCAATCTCGATCAGCAATCAGCAGAAAGTGGATGCAAAGCGCAGTTATAGGTACTGTGCACATACGCTTGTATTCATATTTAGCATACAGAACATTTCTCCACGTTTAATCCCTGATTTATGAATGCGTAATTGTCTGACCAAACAATTAATATGTTAATTATGCAAGAAAACCTTGTGCTTTGGTCATCTGAGCAACTTATTTAGACTTTATTTATTTAATGAGTAGATTATGCACACATTTTAATAAAGCCAAATCAGTTTTGTAACAAGTGAATACGTTCGTTGACTTAAAACATAACACATAAGACACTCTTTTTCGCCACCTGCTGGCATATTTATGTAATATGAAGAAATGGTTACTGAACAAATCTGAACGAATCATTTTGGTGAACGAACTGAAAATGAACAAATCTCTTGAAAGAATCAAAATTTCCACCACTAGTACAGACTGAACGGATTGTCAAAACATTCCATGTATGGCCAGATGAGACACAAACTATGTTTTCTCGACTGGGATAACCAGTCTCGCTAGTAAAGTTCTGATGGATGAAGACTGCAAACAAGGTAAAGACGATTGCGGTGGCATACAGGAGTCGTACAGTACAGTAAGCACGCGTGAGTCTGTTATAATAATGCGTGTATGAGTGCTCTTGATGCACTGATCACACATTGTATTTATGCATAGGCACAGACATTTCCGTACATTCACATTGTTTCCACACACATTCACGATAATGTTTTGATTTGCCATGTTTATGTTGCTGTGTTTAGTTATACGGAATGGATCCGTGTACTGTAGTAGATGTATGCAGTAGGGCTGTCAAAATGACTGAAAAACTAAATGAGAATTTTCTACTTAAATATTATCAAAATTCGAATTATATTCTCAATTTAAAAGGCATAATTTCAGTTAGGGGGGGGGGGAAAGCTTTTGGCTTCTCTCCTGAGGCCACAAGAGGGCGCATCGAGCAAAATATTATGCACGTTTCTTTAAAGCATAATAAAATAACACGACTATCTTTGAACAAAAGTGCATAATGTTTAAAATAATGTTTATAAACCATGTATAATTAATAAAGTTGCTTAAACAATTAGAAAAAAAAACGCACCATGCATGTATAGTTCAATACAAAGGACCGAAAACCAATCACAAAGAGTAGGCTACTTTCTTCATTTAAAAACATGAGATACAGTGGGATGGGGAAAACCACCATAACGTCTTTAGACATGTTTTTTAAAGTTGAACTTGCATTAATTTTACATGGCTTTCTAAACATGCCGCTCTCTCCGAGACGCGAGTGCAACACTGATAGATATCCCTCTAGAAAATGTGATAAATATGCGTTCTGTGTGAACGGCTTGGTTTCAGTTTTGATGTAAACAACATCTTCTCCACACTGATGCTCTCATTTTCCACAATATATGAATGAACAATGTACCAGCGCCGCATCTAGTGGGTTCAACTGGATAGGCTAACGAAAGCATTCAAATGCAATCAATGACACATACATCGTCATTCATTTTTTTTACAGCCCTAGTATGCAGTCAGCATGAGGTTTGGTTTAGTTTTTTTTTTGGCATCTCCATGTGGTCCTGTTCGGTATCGCAACTTGGCTTCTCTAAAATGTAAAAAAGCTCTTTGGTGTTGCACTGTACACATACTATAAAATTCAGATTTTTTTTCTTTCATATGTGCTTATATGGGCTCCTTATATCATTTGGTTCTTTGGTGTCCTTTTGGAGTTTCTAAGTGTCCTTTTTTGGAAAGACATCTAAATTTATCTTGAAAAAAGCTTGCAGAAAATATAGATTTTTGAGAATCACCCTTCAATCTTTTGGTTTACTTTGCTGGATATAGCAAATGATGACCAAATAAACATTTGAAACAAGATAAATGGTCTATGCTTAATTTCATGAAGTGTGCGATTAATCGTGATTAATCACAGAAAAAGGATGTGATTAATCAGAATAAAAATGTAATCAATTGACAGCCCTAATATATATATATATATATATATATAATTTAGACAGATGCAATCCAATAATCGGTTGTAACTGTATTAAATAATACAAAACAAATAAAAATGTGATGACATTTATTTTATAAAATTCAACTGACAAAATGCATAATGGGGCCTCAGCAAACTTCCAAGGAGGCCACAGGGTGGCTTCTCAATAAATTATATGTAGTTTCTATTGAAGAGCATACTGAATCACAATTTTCAATCTGGAATCACAAAATAAATTGTAGTTCATTAAATTTAATATATTTTCTTGGCAGTTTCTGTTAATTAAAAAGTTTGGAAACAAGAAGCATCTTCATATTTTTCCTGCAGGAATACCATTGAGAAAGCCAATAAAGGGATGCTTTGAGTCAAAAAGTTTGAAATCCACTGCATTGATTCACTCCTTTCTTAAAGGTGCATGTTTGTGCTTGCATTTTATTATTTCTCTGAACTCCACTTACAATATTCATAATTTATAATTTAATCATAATTTAGTTCTGCATGAACATTTCCCATCTTCCATCTCACTCTTACACATGGCCATGGCCGATATTTTGCACTTTCATTTTCATTATTGGCTTGATCAAGCAGGAGTTTTATTTTGACTGAGAACCCAGTGCCTGAGCTCCCCTCCACCTTCTTTGGTTTACTGTCTTTCAATATTCTGTGTAATAATAGAACTGCAAACGCTATAATACTTTTATCATATACTCTCGGCATTCAGTAAATACAGGTTTTAATCAAGTCTTTTAATATCTACGAAACATTTAATGGTACAAACTTCAGCAAATCCTGCTATTATCTCTGTACATAGCCTGCATAAAAACACTTCCGTCCATGCAAAGGATCCAAGCCGTGTTGAAAACAGTGATGAGTGTGACTGTGAGTTCATAACATTCTGCCAAAAATCATCCTCCTTTGTTCTATACAATGACAGTTAATAGTGACATTGAGGCTGTCTTTCTGCCTAACATCTCCTTTTGTGTCCCACAGAAGAAAGGAAGGCATACAGTTTTGGATTAACATTTCTGCTGTACCCTTAAGACGACTTTATGCAACTCACCTGAACCAAGTTGTTGATCTAGATGTCAAAGCTTTGATGATTTCTGAACAACCTTTGTAGTAGAGCTGTCCTATACATGTCCTAGGTGGACTTTGTATGAATCTTATTTTGTCTACATAGTACATCAAACCCTGGGTTTTTGGGTTTGATTCCCAGGGAAAGCTGATAAACTGATAAAATGTGGCTTTGCATAAAAGCATCTGTCAAATACAAATGTAAATGCTCAAAAAAAGCTAGAAAAAATCCATAGGTTTCCCTTAAAGCCTCTTACAGTGTGGTATTGACAAAATAGCACCCTATCTCAAGTGAAACATATGGCACCTAATGAGAAGTTTTGAAATAAATATATAAGATAGAATCTCTAGACCACTGCTATTGACCGTACATAGACAAACAGATCTGTAGTGCTAAGTCTTGAAGGATGTAGTTTCATATTTCCCAAAAGCAATAGATGAGCAATATAAAAGTCCTAGAAATATCTGCATGAAGGGAGAGCTTGGCTGCAGCTCAGCTGTTCAATAATTCATCCTGTTCAGTCATCCTGACTGTTATATGGATGCAGGAATATTGACAATTTTACTAAGATTGACAAAGATTTTCGGTAACACTTTACTTGAAGGGGTGTGCATAAGACTAACATGACACCTTCATAATCATGACATGACACATGTCATGAATATGAAGGAGGTTTTATGCATGTTTATGACAACTGTCATTAAGTGTCATTCGCTCAGTTATGTCATTTTTAATGCAAATATGACATTATTTGACCTTACCCTAACCTAACCCTACCCCTACCCTTACCCCTAACCATAGCCCATAACAAATACATCTCAAACAATGTCATCTTTCCATTAAAAATTACATAACTGAGCGAATGACACTTAATGACAGTTGTCATAAACATGCATAAAAAACCTTCATATTCATGACATGTGTCATGTCATGATTATGAAGGTGTCATGTCATGATTATGAAGGTGTCATGTCAGTCTTATGCACACCCCTTCAAGTAAAGTGTAACCAGATTTTCTTACTAAATCTGCTGTGGATAATTATTTGTTTTGTATACTTTGTATGTAATATTGTTAATACATACTATCATTGTGTGTTTTATTTTAGTTGTTCCTGGGTAAATATTCAGATGTGTTATTCTCCCGCAGCTGGCGTGTAATGACAGTGAGGTGTATGAGGAGGCCAGTCACTGTGTGTCTCTGCTGGCTCAGCTGTATGGAGGAGAGGGTGCAGACCGCCTGCAGCCGGAGGAGCTGCTCAGCCTGGCACACGCACTGCAGACACACTCTGAGCCCAGACAGCAGAAACTGCTGCTCCGCGTGCTGAAACGCTTGGTAAGTGCACGCAAATGCTGATTTGAGACCAGCACATAACTGAAATGTATATTATGAATGCAGTATGAACAATTCGTAATATGTTGCAGTAAAAGCAGACTACATTCTTGCTGTATTGAATGCGAGTAAAGTGGGACACCAGATCTGATTTTAAATATGATGGTAAATGGCTTAACCATTTTTAAAGGAATAGTTCACTTTCAGAATAAAAATTTCCTGAAAAATTACTCACCCCCATGTCATCCAAGATGTCTTTCTTGACTGAAGGTCCAAATTGCAGTTTCAGTGCAGCTTCAAAGGGCTCTACATGATCCCAGCCGAGGAATAAGGGTCTTATCTAGCGAAATGATCGTCAATTTTCTAAATAAAAAAATGCACGTTTTGCACTAGCTCCGCAATGCGCAGCTGCAAATTCAAAAAGGTAGGGTAGGGTGAAAAATTCCATCTTATTTCCTCTTCTAACTTCAAAATCATCTTTTTTTGAAAAGTGCATTTGACTTTCTTTGCAAGTTTGCTTTGTAAACACTGGGTCGGTACATCCACCTACGTCACGTGTGACCTTTTCAACGTGACTACTTGATGCATGAAGTCGAGCTAGTGCAAGATGAGCTTTTGTGGTTGAAAAGTATATAAATGTGTATTTTTTAAGAAAATTGACAGATCGTTTGGCTAGATAAGACCCTTATTCCTCTGCTGGGATCATGTAGAGCCCTGCATTGAAATTGCAATTAGGACCTTCAGCCCGTTGGCCACCATTGAAGTCCATTATATGGAGAAAAATCCTGGAATGTTTTCCTCAAAAACCTTAATTTCTTTACGACTGAAGAAAGAAAGACATGAACATCTTGGATAACATAGGGGTGAGTAAATTATCAGGATTTTTTTTTATTCTGGAAGTGATCTAATCCTTTAAGCACATTTTAAGTAGCCATATGTTTACACTAAACTGAGGAATAAGTAAAAAAGATTTAAAAATGAAAGTTAAAATTAAGTGCCCTATTTAGTGTATTATTTTCTGATGTATTAATATTATGATTTATCATATCTGTTTTTTATTTTAATAATGTTATGATTTATTAATGCACCATTTCAGCTCTAGAGAGTAATAGGAATAATATTAAAGAGTAACTGGCCATCAGATATGAAGGAAAACTATTTTTGAGCTGAACTTTCTGTGTCTGACTCTGGAGGAAGTACACGTAGGGATTTTTTTGTATTATTTTATTTATTTATTTTAAATTCTGGTGCTGTCAGTGTGTCAGCTCAATATATGATGTGCCTGTGTGTGGCAAATCGAACCCTCTCTTTAATATTGGATAGTCTGTGTGGTAGGAGGGCATGAACTGTGGCCTTCTGGGTCATTGAAGGGTTGGTTACAGCCATGCAGAGTGAGAAGGACAGCATCCTGTTCCTCATGACTGCTGATTTCCTCTCTTTTCATTTTTATATGTGATATTAGATATTAATATTGAGATATGCAATTATTACTGAGTAACAAAAACAGGCTGCTTAATTTCGTTCTCAGCCTGTCCTGGTCCTCTCATCTGCATGTATTTGTTGATTAGGGGGACTGTCCAACATCAGCCAGGACAAAATATAAATCATCAGTCTGGATGAAAATAACACAGGGGTTGTTTACATAAATCACACTAGCACTGACTGTGTGAAAGTCAGCGTGTCATTGATCATTCAATTCATTTATGATGGGTGAGACCATGAGAATGACTGATTTCTCAATCAGGATTAATCCCTGTCGTTATCCATGTTTTCAACAATTTGCCTCTATTAACGAATAACATTTATTTAGTAATTTTCAAGGCAGAGATTTACATAATCATGTCAAAATGTGATTATTTCACTTGCACTGTATAGTCGAAGTCAACAAGAAACCAAAATTGACTCTATTTACTTTCTTTATAAATGTTCCTGATTTTATCATGAATGATTCATCAGTGCACGTTATTCCAAAGAAAACTTTCCACAAAATTTCGTAAAAAATCGAATCATTTGCTTTGCCTTTGAAACGTCTTTCCATTTCGGCTGACGTTACTATGCGCTCTTATTTTTCAGCTCAATTTCTTGTCATGTAGACACCAATCAATTCCCAGTGCATAAAATAAAGCCTTTTAACCCAGACCCAGAAAAAAAAATATTATTTCATATATTACTTATTTAAACTCATTCTTATCATGACCATGCATGCATAAGTATTTAGTGTTATGGTCACTCTGCAAGATCCTGGAAAGGCTCTTCTTTCGTATTGCGGGATAGTCTGTGGATAAACTTGTTTTAGGTTTGGAAAATATGTTGTTGTAAAACTTGTGGATTTGGTATTCTGTGCAAATATATGGGTATCCTCTGCATACTGGGAATATGCATGTGTTTATAATATGTGCCCCTTGCCCGGCCTGTGGTTCTGTCATCAGTGTTCTGATGACTTAATCTGTGCTCAAACACTGCAGATATCTGAAGAGGAGCTGTTGGCTTTGGCAGACTCCGGAGAGAAGAGAGTGACCTCATCCAAACAAATCACTCACACACTGCCCAGCCACAAACTCAAACTGACACTTCAGGGACACTCGAGCATTCATATGAAAGATAAACACTGATTCCTTTGAGCTTCTGTGGGTAAAATTGCTCTCACTTCTTTTTTTTTTTTTGCTGAAACAACACCCCCATCCAATAAAGGAAAAGTTAATTATGGCAACCAGGGTTCCTACCGTAATGGAAAACCTGGAAATATCAGATAATTCACACTGGAACATTTCTATAAATTACAGTGTTTCCTTTATGGGCGCATTTGCTTGTTGAGCTACAATGATAATTAAATTTCACCACAAAAAGAATGCAATTGACTTTTCCCATCTGAGTTTGATTTATTACAAAATTATCTGTAAAGAATGACTTCATCAAATCCACTTGGTTCTAATTAGTTCTTCAAAATCACACTGAACAACAAAAACAATAACATAATAATAATATTAAATAAAGCTGCAAGCAGCAATTATCCACAAAATGAGGAGCTAAGCAAGCATGGCAAGGAGCATCAGACCAACTCACGTACCCTCAGGTCATTATCATCATAACATGCACCAAATTTTGTCTGAATATGCTGAAGCGTTGTGAAGATGTATCCTCACATTTATTTTGGCATGCTCTTCGTCTAATTCATTCGCAAGTTAGTTGAAAACAGTTTGACTAATCAACTTGAATTACATAAACTTTTGTCACCATGGTCTGAAGATCATCCTATTTGATTTGCATGAAAATCAAAGCAGTTGTCTAGGAGTAGTTAGAAAATGCATGTTTTTGGAATATTAAAAATGGCGGAACATTTTTAATGACAAAAAACAACAACAAAGAAGAAGAAAACTAACGCAGGTCAGGAATCTCACATCCTGCTCCTGGAGAGCTATTGTTCTGCAGAGTTCAGCTCCAACCCCAATCAAACACACCTGAAGCAGTTAATTAAGGTGTTTGGGGTTACTTGACCAACAGGCAGGTATGTTGAAGCAGGGTTGGAACTGAAGTCTGCAGGACTGTAGCGGTCCAGCAGCAGGGTTGGAGACCCCTGCAATAGGTATACCCAGGGGTGTTGACCCGGGGCCCATGGCCCGAGACTTGGCCCGGACTCGAGTCCCAAATTTGATGACTTGCGACTCGACTCGACATAATTAAAGAAGACTTGAGACTCGACTTAGACTTTGACAGCAATGACAGGCTTGCGCTTGACTGGCAAAAAGCCAGAGACTGCGTTAAGGGAGCGCTGGATATACAGTATATGCTAGTATAAATTAATGGAGTAATAGCATAACTTACGACAAAAGAACCAAGATAAGAAAAAAAAGACATGATTCGTATAAAGCTATCTCCGAGAGAAACAAAAGGCGCAATCACTTCACTGGTGCTCGCCTCATCAACACCGTGACCGCTGCTGTTAAACGCTAAACATATTCCTCACTTCTTCTGTTTGTCCGACACTGAGGTGCAACATGAGTGATGGATCCGCATCCCGCCACGACCCTCGCACTCTGCCAACTCGATGTGCTTTCATTTTCATTTTTATTTAAACACCTCTCTGAGACCTTTTTTTTGTCAGATCTCCACTGTTTTTGTTCATTCAGTTACATATTTTAATTTCATGTGCATTTTGTTTTATTTAGACCTCCATTAAGTTTATAGTTAATCCATAATCGAGATTTAAATCTGAGTAAATTTATGGTGCAACTGGATTAAAGTTAATCCTAAATAGGCTATAGCCAAATTTAAATCCAGGATCAAAATTATGGATTGAAATGTAAACCTGCTTATTTTTAAAGGTTTAAAGTTTGGTGCAACAGAATTATTAGATAAACCTTGATTTAATCTAGATTTAAAATTAATCAATGCAAACCATTTAGCTATAATTTCATTTGGAGAGAATAAAAAGCACATTAGACCTAATGACTGAAGTGGGCAAGCGACAATAGGCCTAGTGATAATTTAAAATATAATTTGAAGAAGTGTTTCTTTCACAAAATGAGCATTGCATATATAACTATAAAATATACTATTTTTATAAATACTATATTTTTCTCCCTCTTCACCAGGCACTCATGTCACTTTAATTTCTTTCAGGATAAATAAATGAATTCACGTGTTGTAAATCAGTCTGTAGGCCTAAAGCGCACATAGCCCCTAAATTTAGCAATCAACTATGCATATTATAAACTTAACATTTAATGTACAACATGTTTTCTATAAAATGATTTTGTCTTTGTTACTCTTAGTTATAAAGAATGATAGTACAGTCTTCATGAGTTTGTCTGCATCCATATAGCATGTTTCCTCTCACTTATAAAGTATGGTAGCAGTTATTTCTTCTACAAACCCAATTCCAAAAAAGGAATGGAATAATTTACAAATCTCATAAACTTATTTCCTAAACTTGAGCAACTTGTCTCCTCAGTCCCCAGACGTTTGCAGACTGTTATAAAAAGAAGAGGGGATGCCACACAGTG